CATAAGCTTGACAGCATCTTTGTTCTTAGAATCAGTGAACCAAATCTTCTGTTTCTTACATCCCCCTAAAAGGCAAAGCATTTCCTATAACCCCCCACCCCGGCCCCATGCACGCTCAGGTCAGGTTCCAGTCGGGTGGAACTCCCCTTGTTTGATTGGTTTTTCCCTTCCACTTCTTCTTTTGAAAATTGTATTGAGGCCGGGCGCGGTGGCTCAAGCCTGTAATCCCAGCACTTTGGGAGGCCAAGATGGGCGGATCACGAGGTCAGGAGATCGAGACCATCCTGGCTAACATGGTGAAACCCCGTTTCTACTAAAAAATACAAAAAACTAGCCGGGCGCGGTGGCGGGCGCCTGTAGTCCCAACTACTCGGGAGGCTGAGGCAGGAGAATGGCGTGAACCCGGGAGGCGGAGCTTGCAGTGAGCTGAGATCCGGCCACTGCACTCCAGCCTGGGCGGCAGAGCGAGACTCCGTCTCAAAAAAAAAAAAAAAAAAAAAAAAGAAAATTGTATTGATAGGGCGTTTTTCTGGTTATAAAAGTAGCCTCGTTCATTGTGGAAGTGGTGGAGCGTACAGGGAAGTCCGAAGGTAATCAGTGCGGCGTGGACTCACCGCCACTGACACGCGCTTCCGCCTCTTGCTAGGAGAAAGCCTTTTTGGTTTCTTTAAATGCTTGCTTTACCTGATGCTCCCTTTCCCTAATTTCATTTCGTAATTTCTGTTCCCAGTACTCTGTTATATTGTCCTCTGTATTGGGAAGGGCGTATGCGGATGTGGCCTACAGAAAAACAGCTGAAAGCTGTATTTTGTGCTGTCCAGAAAGCAGAAACACATGTTGTAATGTATACCCGTGCAGGCGCCTGCCCCTTCCTTTTGGATGTGTTGTGGACGTGTATCACATGGGCGCTGTTCCACTCCACAGCGTGGCCTATTCACCTGTGACACCAGTCGCAGGAGGTGGCAGGGAGTGTGCACGGACGTATTTGATGGGATTCATCCAGGTGTTCCAAGCCTCAACGCAGACTACACTTTGCAGCCGAGGTTGACTGTAGGTCGGCTGTAAGGCAGAGAATATTGTTGCGGAAAGAAACCCTCCCTCGCACCCATGCGTTGGGCTGGCTGTGCCGTGTGTATTGAGCGCACTGGGTACAGTCAGCATTTCACACGCATGCACGCTGTCCCTGGCTTTGCTTTCGAAGTTGTACCCAATAGCAGATTCAGTGTGCCCACAGCACTGTGCACCACACTGGAAGGGTTCAAAGGGAGAAAACACCTGTACTCATGCAGCGGCACCGCAGAGGGGCCTGCCAGCCAGCCGTGTGTCCTGTTGGCCTTCTGTTGAGTCAAGGCCATTTCTTCAACCCTGTTCTCTGTAAACCACACACTGCCCTCCCCATGGGCCGAGGCCCCGTGTCTTCCTGGGCTCTGTTGTCCCTGTGTGTGCTCTGTGGTTCTGTGATGGTCCCTTGCCAAACTCCTCTCCCTCGTCCTTGAGTAGGCATGAGACCCCAGATCTAGAGATGTGTGTGCACACTGGCTCTCGGTGCCCCGCCAGCACTCCTCCCAGCATCGTTCCTGTGAGTTTCGGCATGTCCTGTCAGCCCACCCCTTTGGTCTCACAGTCCAGAGTGTGGCAGCCCCCAGCTGCAGCATGAGGTCCCCGCACAGCCATAGAAGGACCAGAAGGAAGAAGGGGGTGGCTGGCTCTCCCCGTGCCTGGGGGAGAGAGGGGACAGTGACACGGACGGGTGGAAGTCACCTGTGTGTGTGTACGTTTCCCCAAAATTGTTCTGGCTCAGAATTGGAAGCAGCGCCGGTGTGAGCGTCCTGGAGGCCCATCGCAGGATGGGGTGCTGCCCCCACAGACTCAGAGGCCCCCCTTGCCCTGCACTTGTCAAGGCCAGCTTTGCCTCAAGCACATACCTGTGGTGACATCTTAGAGGATTCCATGTGGGTCTGGGAGGTGACCCCAGGTTGTCACTTGCAAGCCTGGAAGCCGTGTTGGCCACTTACTGAATGCAGCCTGTCTGAGAGCCAGGCAGACCTATCCAGGGGCTTCGAGGAGGGGGCCCAAGGCCCCAGAGGCCACTGTATGACAACCCAGATGCCACTGCCCTCCTGATAAGGAGTAGAGGCGGGAGGGCCCTGTGGCCCGACTGCTGCCATCATGTAGGGAACACGTCATCCCTCTTGGAGGAACTCACACCGCTGCTCTGAGCCCACGCCCCGTCTGTGATGCTGCCCGGAGCTGGGTCTGCTCTCGTTCAGTTCCATGCTGAAAAAAGGACTTAATTCATTTGTAGACTTTGTTTCCCTTGTTTCTGCTTCTCCATTTCTTGTATTTTTTTCTTTTCCTCCTGTTGTTCCTTTCTCACTTTTTATGCTTTTTGTCCTCTGCTTGTTTTTATTCCACCTTCTCCCTGTCCCTCTCCACTTCCAAATTCCTGCTCCTCTTCTCCTCTTCCTTCTTGTCTTTCTCCGTCTCCTCCTCCTCTTCCTTGTTTGGTCCTTTTGAAGTTGAGCCCAGTGGCGGGACTCCACGACGTAGACCTCTCTCCTTCTGCCCTTGCTGTGTCCAGGAAGGTAACGTAACCTCGCCAACCCCATCCCCGCTACCTCGGAGGGGGTGTAGCCACAGTAGTCAAACAAAGAGCCAGAACCCACCTACCTCTCTCTTTCTCTCTCTCTCTCTCTCTCTCTCTCTCTCTGACCCTCAATGGTCCTGTTACAAAATGTCATGAGTCTGTGGCAGTTTCTAAAGGTACAGTATCCCTTTGACTGTCTATGGGGAGGACCAGGGTGCAGAGTGAAGCCAGAGAGCCTCCAGGTCTGGGCCCTTCAGGGCTGCAGCATTGGCTGGCCTTTCATGGCTGGGGCCTTTAAGTCTCAGATCCAGATAGAGGGGCAGGGAAGCAGGTGAGGAGCCTCCCGCCTGCGTGCAGCGATTTGGATGGGAGCGTCAAGGAATACTGACCTTACAAAGACTGGTCTACACAAGCGCCCTCGGGCCCCTTTCCAAACCACCACTGAAAGCAAACCTCTCTACCTCGTGTCTTGCCGAGTGTGTGTTTTTTAAGTTTGTCTGATTTGAAGTCTGTTGTGGTGATAAGATTGTCGTTGAAAGGCATGTGGGGGGTGTGGCCATGACTAACCCTGCTAACTCTTACCTGCCATCCACAGCGCTCACCCGACTCTCGCCCACACACCACAGCCCCTGCCTGGCGGCCGTGGGCGAGCTCGCCGTAGCTAGTGAGCGCTGTCCGCACGTCTCCGGTGGCATTTTCTGTGTCTTCGCGGGGAGGTGGGCAGCGGGAGAGTCTCCCTGGTGCCGCCGCGGCCGGGCGCACTGGACAGCTTGCATGCCGGGGCCCCTCCTCCACGGCTGTGTGGGCACATTGTGCAGAGACGCTCCGAAAGCAGTGCATGGAACTGAGTGGGGACTGGCTTAAAAGCCAAGACCCAAGCCTATTGGATTGGGTGAGGAGAGCGCTGGTCCCCTGACCCTCAGGCAGGCACTCCACAGTCGCGGGCTGGACAGGCCGGGGGGTTTCGTCCTTCAGATGAGGCTCAGGGGCAGGAACCCCCTTGGGAGCAGAACCGCATGGGCACTAGGGCACGGTACAGACACTAACCCCTGCTTGTTGAACATAGTGCATTTCTGCCTCCTCGGTGTGGCCACTGGGTAGAGACTAACTGCCTAGCAGACACCACTGCAGATAAGAGACGTGTCTGTGTACCATGTGCCAGAAAGGCGGCTAGCAGTGAGGGAGGGCTCGGGCTGTGGCTGGCCCTTCGGAGGCTGTGCTCCTCACACTCCTGGGCTTGTCTTAACTGGCCTAGAACACACCCTGCCAAGCGACGCAGAGAGTGCAGGGGCCTCTGAAAGATGTCCCCGTCTAGTGCCCCTTAACCTGAGGCCCACAGATGGGCCGCAGGAAGCCCAGGAGCAGCCTGGAACTCTGCATCAAATGGTTTGCTCTGCACACATAAGCATTTTTCTAGGAAGAGAGTCCCTAGCTTTTATGAGATTCTCAAAGTGGTTTGTAATCCAAAAATATTGAAGAGCCACTGACACAGCATGTATTTTAGGCGGGACCACACTTTTACCATGAACTTCCGTGCTCCAAGGAAAAGGACCTTGTTCCCTCCTTGGGTGGCCTGGTCCTTTGGAGACTTCCTCCTTCTGTCCTCCTGCCACAGTGAAGCCAGCGGTCAGGCCGCCCCGGGGGAGGTTTGGTATGGGCACCTGTTGGTTCAGGCAGCCTGAGCTAGCAGGCAGCCACCAGCCACAGGCATTCTATTGGATGGACCAGGGCAGGGCGTAGCCACCTCCTTCCATCCCCAGGGGTTGCTAGTGTTTCTCTGCTCTTGGTGAGAAACCCGGTGGCCATCCTGAGATCCCTACGTCGACCACGAGGGATCCCGCGGGAGGCATCCGGAAGCTTGATAGGCCACAAGTTAAGGGGTGGTTTCTTCTCTGCCTGGTCAGGAGGTAAACAAATGACAAGGCATCTATTCTGGTAGCCCCTGGAGAGGGGAGTGGCCCAAGAAAGAGCTGAGTTAATGAGCATGACCTGAGGGCAGGGTGCAGTTTACAAATTCACTTTGCATTGTTTCCGAGAGTGGTTTCCTCCAAGGAGACTTAGCACATGGCAAGTGCTAAATAAACATTGAGTGGGAAGAAAGAGGGAAAGCGACAGAAGTCATCCTAGGAGAGCACAGGGAGCAGGAGAGGCAGAAACCAGCCCCGGGGAGGGCAAGGTCCCCACTGGCCAGGTCGCTGACGGGGGAGCAGGGATGGCAGGACACGGGGAAGCGCAGGCCCCAGGGAGGGGGCGCCGGGGCGCCAGGGCTGCAGGCAAACCTTGGGCCTGGCTTGGGAGTGGAAGTTCCGGCAGCATCTTGCTCGGCCCTCTTTGCACATTTGCCCCGTGTGATTCCTGCGGGCCAGGGTGGGTACGGCACTCCCTGCACCCGACACGAATGTTCCCTCGGCAGGCATGGGCAAGAAGGACGACCCCAAGCTGATGCAGGAGTGGTTCAAGCTAGTGCAGGAGAAGAACGCCATGGTGCGCTACGAGTCGGAGCTGATGATCTTGTGAGTGGCCTTGGGTAGGGGGTGTCGGTGCCATGCTTGTCACAGCAGGCATGGAGGTCCTTCCGGATTTGGGGGTGAGGGGTGGTCCCCAGTCACTGTGGCTTATCTCCCTCCTGCCCTCCCTCCTCAGTGCCCGGGAGCTGGAGCTGGAAGACCGGCAGAGCCGACTGCAGCAGGAGCTCCGGGAACGCATGGCAGTGGAAGGTGAGTGGGGTGAGGCACCCATGGAGCCCAGGGTGGGTGCCACCTCCAGGCCCCTCACCTCATGCCTTCTTCTCCTTCAAGATCACCTTAAGACTGAGGAGGAGCTGTCTGAAGAGAAGCAGATTCTCAATGAGATGCTGGAGGTGGTGGAGCAGAGAGACTCACTGGTGGCGCTGCTGGAGGAGCAGCGGCTCCGGGAGAGAGAGGAGGACAAGGACCTGGAGGCTGCCATGCTGTCCAAGGGCTTCAGCCTTAACTGGTCCTGAGCTCACACCCAACGCTCCATTTTCTGTTGGCATCCGCCTGGCCGGGTAGTGGCCTCCAAACCTCCTGGAGCCGCGATCTGAGGAGGCCTGGCACCTCCTTGGAGTTTACGCTCAGATGCCCGTGTGCTGCTTGGAAAGTGGTCGAGTCCCGCGTGCAGTGGGGAGCCCCAGGGGACAGTGGTTATCTGAGATGGCGCCACCTCCTGGGAGGAGGCCCACCTGGACCTGCCGCTCAGAGGAGGAGCACGGTGCGTATGGTATGACGCAGGGGACCACCCCGCACGCCCCCTGAGGATGTGCCGGCTGTGCCCCTTTCTTCCACTGGCACATTTGGTAAGAGAGGGAAGCTGCTCCCGTCAGAACCACAGTGCGCCGCCACAGCCTGCGAGGGGCACTGTCTTCTTCATGCTCCCTGGAGCACCACCAAAGAGACGTACACAGTACCCCACGAAAGCAGGGTGCGATTGAGACCCGGGATGGGGAGGTGTCCAGTCATGCCCACCCCAGCATCACAGGAGACATGGAGGTGTGGGCAGGCTCCGGAATTGATTATGCAAATTAGGAGGACGCAGGCGGGATCCACTCTCCCGCCGAACACCACACACTGGACCCTAAGTGGCCAAATGCCGGGGCCTCTCACTGGCTGCGGCCTGAGGCCTGTGGGTTGCTGCATTTTGCTTGTAGTTCACCACCATTTTGACACTGGAAAATGCTGACTTTGGGGGACAGGATGAGGCCCTACATTCTGCGCCCCCAGTTGGCAGACAGGCATTGTCCCTGTTCCACATCGATGTCGGGGCAGGAGGTGGCCTCTTCCTCGGTGTCTTTCCTGTGTTTGCACATTGAAATGAAGCTGACAACCTGGCAGGACGCTCAGCCGCTTCAAACCCTTTTTGTCAATTAACTTATTTTTTTAATACTTGAAAAGAAGTAACTTGGTTTGTATATCTTTACTAGAGACACTGATCACTTGATGCCCGGGTGCGGGAGCCACAGCGGCGTCTGCTGCGTCCCACGCAGCCTGGTCCGGGGCTGCCCGGCGCTCGCCACGTGCATCTATTTATTAGCCTTTCTCTTCGTATCACTGGCCTGGCTGGCATCAGGGAGCTGCCCAGGACCCCCGTTGGGTCCTGCTCACAGCTTTCTGTCCCCTCCTGCACCTGGTGCCTGCCTCACCCTGGTCTGGACCGCTCACGTGATGAGGGGGCATCTCCGTTCTGTTTTGGACCAAGCTAACAGCAGAGCTGCCACTCTCACCCTCCCGATGAGAATTCTGGCTCTGCAGAACTCACCCTTCTCTCAGTTTGGGTGCCAGGGCACCACCTTCCTCCACACGTGTGTTAACGAAGGTTTCAGGATGGGCCCTCGTCCACACTGGCCAAGAGGGTGCAGGGTGGGACCCTGGAATCGTGGCTGGTGAAGTCCCTCCTCCCAGCCTAAGATTCACCCAGACGGAAACGCGAGAGCTGTAGTGGATGCTGGGATGCAGGCTGGCCTCTCTCGAGCAGATAAGAGACTCCTGCCCTCCCTCCCTCCCAAGGGCGACGAGCACCTGCCTTGTGCCGGATCTTCATGGGGCCATAAAGGGTGGCAAGCCCCGAATCACTAGCTCCTATAGCCAAACCGTTCCTTTCTCACGGTTCTGCACCAGCCTGGCTGTGTACAGTTCATCAAGCCACTGAGCTAATCGGGGGTAGGGTGCTTGTCCATCAAAGCAGTTAGCACATAGTCCAGCCAGGAGCCCCCCGGGCTAGACCCACCTGCCCCTAGGGGTGCTCCAGCCGCCTGCCGCCTCCCTGGGCTGGGGCCAGCTGGGAGCAGAGGCCTGGCGCCTCCAAGGCATCCCATAGCGGAGCAGGCCGAGGGGCTGTGCTGACCTTGGGCTTTCCATGGGAACCACACTGTGCCTCAACTTGAACATTCATCCCAACTGCAAAGGAGCAAAGAACCTGTGTCATTCCTGTCCGGAAGCTGCCATCTCTCTCCCATGCACATCCAGGAAGTACGCTGCTAGTGGCCGCCATAGCTCTGATTCTCCTCCACCTGCTCTCACGTGAGACAAAGGTCTCCTTTTCTCTTTACTTAAAAAAGGGGAGAGGAGGGTTCCTAGATTCCATCTTCAAACCCCAGTCTTCCCATAAAATTGGATGTGGGAAAAGACCTTCACTGCGGTGTGGCCTGTCCCAGACCTCTCCTATCGAAGGCCACAAAACCAGTCCAGGCCCGGCAGAGCCGCCTTTGGCCCTTGTAGCTCCTGCTGGCCCCACAACGGGGAAGCAGTTTGCAAAGTGGCTCGGAAGGAGTGTGGCCTAGGAATCTGCTACAAGTGGCCGGGTGTAGCAGGAGAGCCCAGCGTCCCCTCCTGGTCCCAGTCAGCCTTAACACTGTGGCATCCTCCGCAGCACACACAGTGGCCTGCAGTCTGGAAAGCGGACCCGAGCCTTTGCAGAGAGGCACCATGGAGCCGCAGGCCCGCACAGCAGCCCCAGCCTCCCACTCCTGACTGTGAGGACATCGGTTCTAGGAGAGCACTTTCTTTAAAGCTCCCATTTTGTAACCACTCGTTTGCAGTTGACTTGAGTACTCTGGTGACTTGCTGCGTGAAGCGATCTCCAGGCAGGTTTTCTTCCCAAGAGTTAAGTCTTCCCTTGAAGGCAGGGAAGCAGGATGGATACACATGTATCATACACATAAAGTACCAGGCGCAGGAGCAGCCCAAACTCGAGGCTGACTAAACTGGAGGCTGCACTGTGGAGGTCTGCATGCAGCCTCCCTGGAGGGCAGGGAGGGGGCGCCCCCGCCCCTGGGCTTGAGGGTGCCACTCCCCGTGGGCTTCCAGGCCTGCCCAGGTGATGCCTTCAGGCCTTTGCCCCTGGCGGCCATCCTCAGGCCAATTTTGACCAGCAATGATAGACTCTTCTTAACCCTTTCAAAAAAATTTTTTCAGTGGGACAGGAAGGAGAGTTAAAAAACATTTTTTTAAAGGTGGTAACATCTGACCCATGAAGGGTATGGGTCTGTTTTACGCTAAATAAACGTTTTTCAAAGAAATAGTGTGTTTCTTAACGTCATTGTACTGTATTTTTCAGGTGGATGGTGTAGGTGCAAAGTATTATACATCTAGCTTTTGCCTGGGTGTGTGCAAGACTGTTTAAAGAATGCATCTTGCCGGGTGCGGTGGCTCACACCTGTAATCCCAGCACTTTGGGAGGCCGAGGCAGGTGGATCACAAGGTCAGGGGATCGAGACCATCCTGGCTAACACAGTGAAACCCCGTCTCTACTAAAAAATACAAAAAATTAGCCGGGCGTGGTGGTGGGCGCCTGTAGTCCCAGCTACTCGGGAGGCTGAGGCAGGAGAATGGCGTAAACCCGGGAGGCGGAGCTTGCAGTGAGCCGAGATCACGCCACTGCACTCCAGCCTGGGCGACAGAGCGAGACTCCGTCTCAAAAAAAAAAAAAAACAAAAACAAAAAAAACAAAAGAATGCATCTTTTTTTTTTTTTTTTGAGATGGAGTCTCGCTCTGTCCCCCATGCTGGAGCATAGTGGCCGGATCTCAGCTCACTGCAAGCTCCGCCTCCCGGGTTTACGCCATTCTCCTGCCTCAGCCTCCCGAGTAGCTGGGACTACAGGCGCCCGCCACCTCGCCCGGCTAGTTTTTTGTATTTTTTTTTAGTAGAGACGGGGTTTCACTGTGTTAGCCAGGATGGTCTCGGCCTCCCAAAGTGCTGGGATTACAGGCTTGAGCCACCGCGCCCGGCATCTTTCTTTTTTTTAAGTTTGTGCTTTTTTTAGTCCTCCATAATATCCTGGCTCAGCCACCAACTGCTGTCACTTGAGTAAATGTCTTAGGCAGCCAAGTTGGAGAAGCAGCCACTCTTCACACAAAGCCCCAGTAGCCTCTGGAAGAGAAGTGGGCTCTTCAAATTGGAGATACTCCAAGTCAGGGCGATGCTGTGGTCCTGGCAGCCCTCCTTCCAGCCCTGCCTGGCTCTGTCCTGCAGCACAGCTGACCTGGGAGCCCATGGTATGCATGGGGTCTGCAGCACCCACGCCGAAACCTTTCAGATGTTTCAGCAATCCGGAGGTCACTCAGTAGGATCCCTCCTCTTTAGCCTGAAAATTGTCCCCAGGAGATGACAGGGAGCAGGAGGCCAGCTCCTCTTTGTTCTAAGAAGCCTCCGAGTCACCTCCAGCTCTCTCTCTAACCGCTCCCTTGGTGTGTTGCATTGTTGGGAGCATGGCTGGCCCCTGACAATCCAGAGGCACCTTGCGGGGAGGGAAAGACCGCAGCGGCTGTGTGCACACCAGCCGCATCGCCCGCAGGCCGGCTGGAAGTCACGCGTGGAAGCTGGCTCCCAGTCCTTCCAGCTGCGTTCCCACCTATTCCAGAACAAAGGCCTGGCCAGGACACATGTGGGCATGTCGGGTAGGACAGAGGAGAGAAATGAATGAGCAGCTCAAAGTGCATATCCTGTGGCCCTAGAGGACATCCTGTGCGAAGAGAGCTGGGTCACTTGCCTGCTGGGAAAGGAAATGGGGCTTGGTAGTCACCTGACCCCCAGGCTCTCGTTCCTCAGAAGGGCTTGCTTGTCGGAGCTGCACCAGGCAGGCTTGAGCTGCAGTTCATGGCCACCTCAGGTAGCAGGAAACAATAAGTGTTACTTTAGGGAGGACACCAGAAAGGAAGGCTGCTGGGCCAGGCCAGTGCCACTGTCAGAAGCACACAAAAAGGTCACACGCTGTGGCACACGCCTGTAATACCAGCACTTGGAGAGGCCGAGGCAGGCAGATCACCTGAGGTCAGGAGTTCAAGACCAGCCTTGCCAATATGACGAAACCCCGTCTTTACTAAAAATACAAAAATTAGCTGGGTGCAGTGGCACACGCCTGTTATCCCAGTTACTGGGGAGCCTGAGGCAAGAGAATTGCTTGAACCTGGGAGGTGGAGGTTGCAGTGAGCCAAGATTGTGCCACTGCACCCTGGGCGACAGTGAGACTCTGTCAAAAAAAAAAAAAAAAATGTATAGGCTTTATCATTTTTTAATTTTAAAAATTATTTTAAAACAACACATAAGATGCTCTTCTTTCATGAACCGCCACATCTAACAGCTCCAGTGTCCCTCCTGAACCCTGAATCCTCACACAGTCCCGTCTTAACAATCAGCCAAAAATGATGACGGGACAAGACGTGCCATTTTATTCCATTTTATAAGCTGGCCACACTGGCCCATGTACTAGACCCTCTCCACTTCGTGACCCCTGCTCGGATGACCCTCCCCAGTGATGCCCAGTGAGGAGGGTGAGAGGCCATACTACCCAAACACTGGTTGGGGACTGGAGCCACCTGCCACACAGCCCAGGAGCCTGTGAGACCAGGCCCATGGCCCCTTCAACAGCCTGTGGCTGCTCGGCTTCACCAGGAGCTTTTTCAGCAGCCCCCTTGTGTGCCCCCTGCCCCAAGCAAGGTCTTCCTGCAGCTGGGGCTTTGCTGGGGAAGGTGGACTCCAGTTGCTGTGGGTAGGCCACGTGTGCTGCACCCACAGCCCCTTTTCTGCCCGCGTGGCCTCCAAGCCACAGAGGGCACATCCAGTACTGGAGCAGGCTGGGTTCCAGCCGTGGGGGCCAGGGCGGGGTGGCCCAGGACTAGGTGGACGGGGCTGAGGGCCTCCCTGTACAGTCAACACCTGGACTGTGGTGAGGCTGCCAGCACTGAGTGGTCCTCAAGCCAGGGGCAGCATCCTCCGGACCCGGTGGGTGTGTGTGGAGCCACTTTGCGCAGCTGTGTGACACGAGACCGACTGCAGCTGCTGGTGTCTGCCCACCTGCAAGAGGGCGGCAGGGAGCACAAGTTAGGTGAGCACCAGCTCAGGGTCCTGGTGGGATATGTTCCTGTCTCTTCCCCCAGCGTAAGCCTGGTCACATTGCTCACCTGGCCGGTACCTCGAGTTCCTTCCACCAACTTGGGACTGGTGACCAACTTAGGATGAGGAAGCACATAGGAAGGCTGGAGGTTGTGGAGTCGGGGCCCATGCAGATGCATAGATGCCTCGTGATGAGAGAACCCTATGGCCGGGCGCAGTGGCTCAAGCCTGTAATCCCAGCACTTTAGGAGGCCGAGACGGGCGGATCACGAGGTCAGGAGATCGAGACCATCCTGGTTAACACAGTGAAACCCCGTCTCTACTAAAAAATACAAAAAACTAGCTGGGCAAGGTGGCGGGCGCCTGTAGTCCCAGCTACTCGGGAGGCTGAGGCAGGAGAATGGCGTGAACCCGGGAGGTGGAGCTTGCAGTGAGCTGAGATCTGGCCACTGCACTCCAGCCTGGGCGACAGAGCTAGACTCCGTCTCAAAAAAAAAAAAAAAAAAAAAGAGAGAACCCTAGGAGGACTCGGGAGGCAGCCCCCTGCAGCTCCAGGCCAGCCCCCCTGTTTCACGAACTTGCTGGGCCCCTGTGGAGTCAGTGTTCCCAGAGTGTTCGGCCAGCCCTGTTGCCCCCAGCCACCCCTCCATCCAGGCAGCAGGTCAGAGCTGCTGTCCCAGCAGCTGCTCCAGGGACAGGCCATGGGTCCCTGAGTCTTCACAGGGCCATCATCAAGGATGAGGATTTGTCCAGATGGATGCTGGAGTGTCAGCGCTGAGGGACTGCTCAACCCACAGGCGCCAGGTCCAGCAGGCGAGAGGAGCCTCTCAGTGGCCAGCCCCCATGAGTGTCCTCTCCTGCCTTTTCCTTTTTTTTTTTTTTTTTTTTTTTTTGAGACAGAGTTTTGATCTTGTTGCCCAGGTTGGAGTGTAATGGCGCGATCTCGGCTCACCACAACCTCCACCTCCCGGGTTCAAGTGATTCTCCTGCCTCAGCCCCCTGAGTAGCTGAGATTACAGGCATGAGCCACCATGCCCGGCTGATTTTGTATTTTCAGTAGAGGGGAGGTTTATCCACGTTGGTCAGGCTGGTCTTGAACTCCCGACCTCAGGTGATCCGCCCACCTCAGCCTCCCAGAGTGCTAGGACTATGGGCATGAGCCACTGCACCCGGCCCAAACCTGCCTCTCTAGCCCCTGGTTGTCTCCCCAGAAAACTGGCTGCCAGGTCTTTCTTGGGAGAAAAGGAGAAAGAGGCACCTGGCAGCCAGCAGCTCCCCTTCCCTGGAGGGTCTTACTTCTTTTGCAAATGTTTTTAGAGGCCTGGCGCGGTGGCTCACACCTGTAATCCCAGCACTTTGGGAGGCCGAGGCAGGTGGATCATGAGGTCAGGTGATCGAGGCCATCCTGGCTAACACAGTGAAACCCCATCTCTACTAAAAAATACAAAAAAAAATCAGCCGGGCGTGGTGGCGGGCGCCTGTAGTCCCAGCTACTCAGGAGGCTGAGGCAGGAGAATGGCGTGAACCCGGGAGGCGGAGCTTCCAGTGAGCGACAGAGAGACTCCGCCTCAAAAAAGAAAAATGTTTTTAGAGAATGAAATACCTTTCAAAAATGTATCTCGGACCAAACTTGTTCCCTCGGGGGGCTGGGATGTGCCCACGACCAGGGCTCTGGGACGCCTTCCGCCCAGAGGCCCAGCATAGGGACCACCTGCCCAGTCAGGCCACTTCAGCTGGCAGCTCCTGCGGGTCCCGGCTCCTCCACGGCCAGTCATTCCCGACCGCCCCCGCCCTCTGTGTCTGTAGCTACTGAGTTGCCGCTGCTGGCTGGTAAGAGAATTCTTCCTGTCCTTCCCCTGGTGTGGCCATGTATTTTGACAAGAAAAGACAAGCAGGAAAATTGTCTTTTTCCCCAAGCTTCTTGCCCACGTCAAGGGCAGGCCTGCTCCACCAGCATCTGCCAGTGCTTTTTTTTTTTTTTTTTTTTTGAGACGGAGTCTCGCTCTGTCGCCCAGGCTGGAGTGCAGTGGCCGGATCTCAGCTCACTGCAAGCTCCGCCTCCCGGGTTTACGCCATTCTCCTGCCTCAGCCTCCCGAGCAGCTGGGACTACAGGCGCACGCCACCTCGCCCGGCTAGTTTTTTGTATTTTTTAGTAGAGACGGGATTTCACTGTGTTAGCCAGGATGGCTGCCAGTGCTTTTTCATCTTGGAGCGATCGCGTGCGGCTAATGGGAGGGGTCGCTGCTGTTGGAGAGGGTGGGATGGGAGGAGTCTCAGAATCAAGATGCAGGGCAGGATCAGGGATGGAAAATCAGAAACTCACTTATTTCAAGCCAGGATTGTGATAAGAAGGACTTCGGTGAACAGCCCTAGGGCGAGGCCCACAAGCAGAAGCAATCCGATGGCACCAAAGAGAGCACCAGCCCCCAGAACCCTGCAGAGCCCCGAGTGAGGGGGGAAGGCCTGCTGGCGTTCCCAGGCACGGGCATCCTATCCCTGGCCCCAGGGAGAGTGTCCTCTCTGCTCCCACCAGGTCAACGTTTGGAAGAGGGTGAAGAACTTCGTGCATGAGACAAGGGGCATGAGAACAAGGTCCACCCCCAGCCTCCTCCCCCCAGCACCGTCCTCTCCTCCTCCCTGGAGAGTTCTCCAAGGCCCTGGGGAGAACTAAAGCACAGTCACGCTCTTGGCAAGGCACTGTGGCAGCAGAGCACGTAGGCGTAAGCACGCGCAGTGGAGAGGAGATTCGGTGTAGAGAAAGAGATTAAGCAGGGCTAAGGCAGTTATAAACGTCATAATTTTGATGCATTTTCAGGTGCCAAAGAATCGCTCTTGGCTTTGAGAGCTGGATGGTGAGCTCGGCTGGGGCTGGGAGCCAATGGCACGTGTACTATTGAAGCTGGCTTTCCCACACAGGGCCTGGGGTGGCAGCACCCCACTCGGGGAAGTCCTCGGGGTGGATCCACCATTCAAAACTTTTGATCCAACGTTCAAAACTGAGATACAGGCTAAGGATCCCTAATGCAGGATTGCCTTTGAGCATCATGTCGGCAAAGATTCCAAAATGTGAAAAATTGAAACATCTCTGGTCCCAAGCATTCTAGATAAAGGGATACGCACCCACCTGCAGCCCCTCCTTTCTCCATCAGCATCTCTAAAGATGATCCCAAGAGCCTTCCTCCCTCTCTCCAGGAAGATCCTTTACTGGAGGCCACATGCCTGTGAGAACCAAGCGCTAGACCAGACCTCTGCCTGGCTGGCTGATGCTGGACGTGGCTCTCCAAGCCAGTTTCTACCTTTGAACCAGGAAAAGAACATCCATTTCTCTGCCCCGTAAACAGATCCTAGACGCTGTGAACTTTGGGTTTTGTGGGGTGCTGAGCCATCCCTCTGTGGCTGCCTGAGTTGGTCCCATACAGGCGTCCCTTCCCTGAAGGCTGATCCGGCCCTGCCCATGGCACGCGTGGGAGCAGCTCCTGCCCAGGCCAATGGCCGGAAACGCCACAGTGGCTCCTCTGGCTGGAGGAGGATGACACCTGGGCCTCATGCAGTTTGTAGGAAAGGAAGGATGCCACGGGGTCAGATCGCATGTGGGGGAGATTTGGTACAGAAACTAACACAGGAATTAAGGTGGCAGAAACGTCACGTAAGGTGAGGCGTGTGTCTCCTGGCCTCTCATCTATCTCAGGTCTGAACTTCGCATAGCATGAGGCTGCAGTGCTGAGACTCAGCCCCTCCCCGGGGGGCCCACAGCCTACGCCACTCACTCTGCACGTGGCATTCTTGGTTTCTGCATCTTTGAGCAGAATGCTAGACACATTGGTTTACCCTCTGCTCAATATCCCTTTAACAAATCACCATGCAAAACATTCCAGCCGGGTACAGCTCCCCCGACGCCGGGACCCCATACCAGGTCCTCCACTCCCTTCCCTCTGCCGGGTTTGATTTGACCAATATCCAGAGTTCACTTCAGAAAGGGCAGGGTGAGAGGAAGGATAGCATGGGGGTCCCTGGCCTGTGCCAACCCTGGGGCAGACGCCAGAGGGTCCAGCCCCCCCTGGGAAATCCTGCTTGCCCTGCCCCAGCACCCATTCTGAGCCACAGCCAGACTCTGGGAGGGCCGTGCTCAGAGTTTTCCAGCCCCTGGGCCTCAGGAGTGAGCCCTCCAAAAGTTGGTGGCGAGGGCTCACTAGCAGCTGAAGGCTGTTGGCATTAGATAGAGCAGTCCCAGGGAAAAGGCTGCTTGAAGCAATATGGGAAACCCCAGACTGGTCTTTCTGCAAAAGCTGAGTCACGCCAGCCTCCCAGAGCTTCTGCGGGGCCACACCCGCCCCAGCACGGGGGCTGGGGAATCCCTGGGGTCTACTTGCTGCTCCGCTCGGTGGGTGGGACTGGTCTTCACCATGGCGGTGAACATGATTTTGCACCCCCCTCCACCCCACCCTGCCCGGCTCTGGTCCTGCATCTTGCCATCTCTCCCTTCTCCTCCAGCAAGACTCCTGCCCTCACAACCCACCGGCCCTTTAAGTCCCAGCGCCTGGGAAAGGCACCTCCTGGGCAGGGAGCCACACAGCCAGGCACCACCAGCCAGGCCCTGCTCTAGGCTGTCAGGGCACAGAGCTGAGTCTAGGCAGAGAGGGGAGCTCTGTGGTCGGTGCTAACTTGGCCAGGAGCCACCAGCCCCTGTGCTGTGGCCATTTGATGTTGGCAGAGCCCTGGGCCATCCCTGCAGCCCCAGTTCCTGGGGTACTAACTGCAGGGAGGGCTCTGTGCCCCTGGCCTCCCTGCCACGCGATGGTGTGCGTTCACTCTGATTTTCCACCCCAGGTCTCAGGCAGGCATTGTCGCTTTCTGTCCCAGAGATGAGGGGAATAGGGTGGCCAGGAAGAAGGAAATCCTTCACTCCAGCAATCAGATTCCCACCAGTACTGGGGCGGGCTCCAGTTCAGGGACCAGGAGGCACCATGGAGCCCATGGGCTTGTTCCCAGGGGAGCAGAGGCCTTGTGCAGACCTCGCCTCCTGTGGTGTGGGGGGATGAGATGCCTGGAGGGGCAGGAGGGAGAAATGGCCCACTTGGTAACAGACATTACCGCGTGTCAGCCCTGGCCAGCAGGGGACAGACCAGCTCTGCCCCTGCCTCCCCAGCCCTGTCCTCAGGCCAGGAGGACACTGGCCCCTCCACCCCTCATTCCTTCTGCTTCCGAGAGCACCTGAGCTTCAGTGAGAGCACAGCGGCGTGGCCGGGGAACGAGCGGCACCTGGAGCGAGTCCACCATCAAGAAGAGCATGGAAGTGCCCTGGGCGGATGGTCGGAGTAGGGGCTTCAGGGCAGGGGGAGGCGGTGGGGGCAGCTGGCGGGGAGGGGTGAAGTTCCAAGGGTGCACTGAGAAGGGGGCTGGGGTGGAAGGGGAAAACAGCAGTGTGTGGCAGCCCCTCTGCTCTTATCTTTCTCCCCATGCCCCTTGGGAGCCACCATCCAGCCCCTGGCCTGAAGCACCCACAGGGAGTCCATCCACCCCACTCCCAGCAAATGGAGCTGCTAGGGGCCTCCGACCGCACTGCCGGCTAATCACAAGCCACGCTTCCTGAGCGCGTGCTGGGTGCCTAAGACCTCGCGTTTCACGTATTCACAGCCCGCCTCTGAGGAATGTACTATCATCTCCTTAATGACAGGACATCGGGGCCCAAGAAACTTGCTCTGGGGCCTCAGGAGAGGGGGAGCTGGCGGCCAGCTTTTCTGGGGGCAGCCCTTGCCAGTTACAGCCATGAAACTCGTCAGGGATAGAGCTGAGAAAACAAACTTTGAAGGCTGAGCTCTTAACCACCAAGCTAGAGGCCTCCCGCGGTCCTGTTGACCTCCGCCTGGGAGGCCGCCCAGACCCCCGTGCCCATGCTCCCTCTGCCCTCCAGATGCACAAATGCTTGTGGTCAGAACCACGCCCTGCTCTTCAGTGCACTAGTGTCCCTTGTAGAGTTCTCTGTCCTGACTTCTGCCCCGTCACTTGGGAGTGAGTTCTGTGCACTGTCTCTCTGTCTTCACCCAGGGATGTGAAGGGCTGATGACTGCAGAGATGCTGGATGGGACAGCATCAGTCTCGGCACTCTTGGGAGGAGACCCTCAGAGGAAAGCCGGGACCCCGTCAGACTGAGCTAGCAATACACCAGGCCCGGAGCTCCCAGTCTGTTACTGCAGCGTGCCTGCAGAAAGCGTCTGCCATCAAGATGATGGTGGCCGTCTTCTTTCTCCAGGTGCTGCTGCTACTGCTTTGGAGCCCTGGGAACGCTGCAATCTCCTTCCACAGACAATGTGCTCTCCAGGTGCGTGGAGTGCCTCAGCCAACAGGCTCGGGCTGCAGCCACAGAGGCCACGTGCTCCAGGCACTAAGCCAGCGGTATGGGGGTCTGTCCCTTGCTCCTGCAACAGCATCCTTGGCCCTGAGCGGCTGTTGGTGTGGCAGCAGGGCCCTATCAGATCTGCTTCACAGCTGACCAGTTCTCCTTCCCTCTCTCCCCTCCCAGGGGTCCGATCCTCACTGTGACCTGAAGGCTGTCCCTGTCCAATCCCGCCCCTTCCTCTTGGGTATCACCTCCCACCCAGCTTTCTCTCAGCGTCTGCTTGCCTGAGGATGGAAACTGACACTCTGTCCTGTGCTGAGTAATACCAAGAGGAAACCCAGAGGACTTTTCTTTTTTGTTTGTTTGTTTTCATTTTAGAAACAGGGCCTCACTCTGTTGCCCAGGCTGGAGTGCACTGACAGGATCACAACTCAGCACAGCCTCAACCTCCCGAGGTCAAGTCATCCTCCCACCTCAGCCTCCTGAGGAGCTGGGACCACAGGCACACACCACCATGCCTGGCTAATTTTTTTATCTTTTTTATTTTTTGTAGAGATGAACATCTCACTGAGTTGCCCAGGCTGGTCTTGAACTCCCGGTGGCCCAGTCTGGTCTTGAACTCCCAAAGGACTTTTGAACAAAAATGCCCAAACTCATTGTTCACCATGGAAATGCAAAACCAAAATAACACCGAGGTATCGTTTTATACTATTAGACCGGCAAAGCTTTGGAGGCTAGATCCTGCCCGGCGTTGGCGGGGATGCAGCAGGGTGGCCAGCAAGCCCTGCTGTGGGATTCAAGTGTACCGCCGGGAAGACCTCACCACAGGCCCAGCTTAGACAGGAGCTCTGTCCCTACGGTTCGGTCCCCAGATCTCTCTCTAAGGAAACCCTCATTTAGGCTCAGAGCGCCATGTTTGAGGATATGAGAGTGGTTTGTCATGGCGACAAGTTGGAGGTCACTGGGATTCCATATTTTGGGAAGCAGGTGGGCGAAATGCAGGGCTGCCACAGTGGGGACCCCAGGGCACCGGAGCCACATGTGCAGCAACGTGGGGCGACCCAGGATGGAGCTGGGTGGAGAAAACGTGCCAGCTCACATCTCAGTTAAAACACGCACATGACAACAGCACACTCGCCCCTGAGACTGCACAGGAGCCAGTCCGTGGCGCGGAGGGAGCCAGCAGTGCTGTCTCATTCGCCTTCCGCAGTCCAGCTTCCAGCCCTGCGCTGTCCTCACACGAGAGTCCCTCAGGTGTGCGGAAACCTCGACTCTGCACACCCCGCCTTGGACACCTACAGCGCAAACAAGGACCCTCCCGGAGCTGTCCCCAAGCCCCTCCCCTGGCCTGTGTGTGGGTGTCTGAGTTGGTGGAGGCCAGCCCCAGGCTCTGCTTCCCTGTGAACCGGGGTCTGGGCCGAGTCTGACCTGGAGGCCCGGGGCCGGGGCCAGAGCCGGAGAGGTCACATCATTCCAGGAGTTCGGAAGGACCCAACAGCTCCCCTGAAGCTGGCTGTGACCTGGGCCTGTCAGAAGCAACCTGAGAGGAGGGTCGCAAGTGACCCAGACCTGGGAAGGAGGGAAAGGTTTGAATTTTGCAAAACAAAACAAAACAAAACAAAAAAACAAAAAACCTTTGCCCTTTTCCCTTGACCATGGGGGGACAAGATGGGCGCGAGGCCTCCCGACCATGAGAGGAAGGCCACCTGGCGAAGCTGCAGTCCCAGCATTATCTGTATGTTAAATTGATGTTTTAAATCCGAGTTGCATATCCAGGTAATTGAAGAATAAATAACAAGCACGGGGGGCACCATGGTGATGGGCTGGGCCAGATTCTCTGCAACCCCCTTTCCAAACCTCTGGTTCCGTGAGGACCAAAAATGACCACCCCAGACTATTCCAGAAACAGCCTGGGGATTCTGAAAGTTTCCCAGAACACAGGCAGTGAAAGGGAGAGAAGCTCAGCCCTTCCGGTGGGGCCGGGTGGCTCAGAGCAGGAGGCAATGCAGATCCGGGGGCGCCACGGCCGAGTACCACAGACTGGAGGCTTACACAGGAGAAGCGGATTTCCTCACGATTCTGAGCGGGAAGGCAGAGCTACATGCGCAGGCAGGGCTGGGCTCCCCGGACGCCTCTCTCCCTGGCTTGGAGACAATGTGTTGTTCTCCCCGGGCCCTTTCCTGTGCGGGTGCCCACGTCCCCATCAGGACACCAGTCAGATAGGAGCAGGGCCATCCAGTGACCTCACTTAACCTTAATCACCTCCGGAAAGTCCCTATCTCCAAGCACAGTCACGTTCTGAGGTCCTGGGGGTCAGGGCTTCAACTTACGAATTTTGAGAGCACTCAAGTCAGCCCATAACAGTGGACTTTGAAATAATCTTTTAGGAACTGGACTCCCCGAGAATGCTTTAGAAAATGCCAGCCTCGTTCTGTTGCAAAGGGGGAACTGAGGAAGAGGGGGCTGAGTTTTCACAGGGGGAGGAGCCCAGTGGCAGGAAGTGACAGTGAGAAACTGCAGCAAAAAGCAGAACCAAAGGCCAAAGGTGACTATGTGGTCGCCAGTTCGCCTTCCCCGTCAAACCTTGCTGGGTTTGGTGTTTCATTTTCATTTTCAAAAACACCATTCAGGCCAAATGCAGTGGTTCATGCCTATAATCCCAGCACTTTGGGAGGCTGAGGTGGGAGGATTGCTTGAGCCCAGGAGTTGAAGACCAGCCTGGGCAACACAGCAAGACCCTGTCTCAAAAAAAAAAAAAAAAGGCCAGGTGCAGTGGCTCATACCTGTAGTCCCAGCACTCTGGGAGGCCGAGGCAGGCAGATCACCTGAGGTCAGGAGTTCGAGACCAGCCTGGCCAACATGGTGAAACCCCATCTCTACTAAAACTACAAAAATTAGCCAGTCATGTTGGTGGGTGCCTGTAATCTCTGCTATTCGGGAGGCTGAGGGTGAAGAATCACCTGAACCCAGGAGGCGGAGGTTGCAGTGAGCAGAAATCGTGCCATTGCACTCCAGCATGGGCGACAGAGCTAGACTCCGTCTTAAAAAAAAAAAAAAAAAAAAAAACCCAGGCGTGGTTGTGCACGCCTGTAGTCCCAGATAATTGGGAGGCTGAGGCATGAGGATCACTCGAGCCTGGGAGGTCAAGGCTGCAGTGAGCTGTGATTGTACCACTGCACTCCAGTATGGGTGACAGAGCTAGATCCTGTTTTAAAAAAATAAAGTCATCATTCTGTCATGTATGTGTATATGGTTTCATGTGTTAATTAAGGTATAATTTTACATACAGTAAAACTCACCATTCTTAGTGCAGAGTTCTCACAAAAGTGTACAATTGTGTGGCATCCACCACAATCCCTACATAGAAGAATCCCATCATGCCCGGAATTTCCCTGGGCCCTTCCATAGCCCCCCAGTCCCTCACCCCCTGAATTGTTTTCTGACACCCCGCCACCCTTTCTTTTTGAAGTGGTTGTTTTGCAGGAAACATCACCTTCTCTCATTTTACAAATACTGCAGATAGATTTTGAAGCCCAAAGCATCATAGAGGCAGCAAATCAGGACAGGAAGGATTGAGGTGGGGGGACTCTACCCTGACTGTAAGAAGCACTTGAGAGACCTGCAAAAAGCAAACAGGAGAGGCAGAGACTGGGAGCGCCAGTTGGTACAGGTCCTGCCCTGCATGACAGGGCCAGTGGCCCCCACAGTGATTAGGATAAAATCCAACTGCTCACCCAGGCTGCTGGAGCCTCCCTGCCTTCAGGCCGCCCCACTGGCCCCTTGCCCACTGTGCCCCACTGTCCAAGCGCTCGCCTGCCCTGGGAGGGACCCCTGCAGCTTCCTGTGCCCAGGTGCACGTACCTCTCTTTTCCCATCTGGGCGCCTGCTGACTTTGCACCATGAATTTGAACACCACCCTGCAGATGACCTGGCCTCAGCCCATGAAGTTTCCCTTTCGTCCTCTGCAGGGCACCAGCCCCTAACGCCGTCTGACCGTTTCCCTGCTCACAGGATCTTCCATTTGCTTAACCCCGGAAGTGCGAAGCCTGAGTGAGGAGCGTGCAGGAAACAAGCCCCTGTCCTCGTGGAGGCTACATTCCGAGAGGGGAGGCAGGCAACACACACACAAACGACCCCATAGTATGTCATGCTGCGATGCCGGCTGTGGAGGAAAATGAAGTGAGGCCCGGGGAAAGCCAGAGGCCATGGGGAGGAGGAGCAGGGACGGGGCAGAATTTGCTTAGAGCAGGGCAGGTCACGTCGGACTCTGCGGGCCACTGAAAGGAACTTGGCTTTTATTGGGAGGATGTTAAAGGGTGAGTGACATCCTCTGACCTTTTACAAAAGAAGCAAGAGTCTAGAGAGCCCAGGCAGAAGTGAGGGCAGCAGGTGGAGGCCCCACAGCAGGCTCAGGGAGTGAGCCCACGCCAGGGCGTGGAGCAACTGGAGGCTCCAACAGGGCTGGTGGGAGTGCCGAACGGTGTGCATCACCTTGGAAAGCAGGCAGTTTCTAATACCATGAAGCTCGTCCAGCCCTATGTTTCGCAGTTCCAGTCCTAGGTATCACACTCAAGAGAAGTGAAGACGCCCACAAATGGCTCTGCAGCAGCGCTGTCCGTGAGAGCTGCATCTGGGGATGCATGAATTGGCCTGTCATTCCAGCATTTTGGGAGGCCGGGGCGGGAGCATCGCTGGAGCCCGGAGTTCGAGACCAACCTGACGCCTCCAGAGGTGGAGACACCTCCCCCCCCCACCCCCGCCTCCACCTCTACAAAAAACTGAAAAAGAAATTAGCTGGGTGTGGTGGTATGCGCCTGCAGTCCCAGCATTATCTATATGTTAAACTTCTGTTTTTAATCAGAGTTGCATATCCAAATAATTAAAGAATAACAAGCACAGAGACTAGTGAGGGGCTGGGCCAGATTCTCTACAACCCACATGGCTTCACCCATTTTCCAAACCCCTGGTTTCGTGAGGACCGAGAATGACCATCCCATACTATTCCAGAAACAGCCTGGGGATTCTGAATGTTTCCCGGAGAGTCATTAGGAATTATCCCAGCGGCGCTGGAGTTAAGTGGCTAACTTAAAGTTGGACGACACTGTCTGGAACAGTCGCGTAAGGGATAAGGGTGGAAACTCCGGTACTCACTGCGCTGCTGGCTCCCCGCCCCTCTCCACCGCCCCGCGCGGGCGCGGGCTCCCCGTGTCCCCGCAAGCCGCCGGGGGCGGGCCGGGGCGGGCCGGGGCGGGCCCAGGCGTGGGGGGCCGAAGGAGGAAGCGCGCGGGGCGCCATAAGGAGGAAGCGGGTATTCGGCGGTGTCCGCGCGCCTGGGAGACGCTGCCTCGGCCCGGACGCGCCCGCGCCTCCGCGGCTGGAGAGTGGTGAGTGCCCCCGCGCCCCTCCCGGGATACGCGCCGAGCCCCAGCCCGGGACCCCTGCCCGCCCGCCCGCCTGCCCCGGCGTGGAGCTCAGGGCCCGCCGCCTGCCCTGGGCCCGACCGCGGTGGGAGCCGGAGGAGGGGAAGAGGGGAGGAGGGGGTCAGAGCCTGGCCTCAGCACCGACCCGCGGGCCGCGCCTCGCCCGCCTCCCCTCCGCCCGGGCGCCCTCCTCGGCGCGGCCTGCAGTGCTGAGGGTCGGGTCCGCCTCGGAGGCGGGGAAGGCTTTGTTGTGTCCTCTCCACGTGGCCTGGGGACTCAGGGGAGGGGTTCGGGGCGCGGGGAGGGTGGGGGAGGGGCCGAGGCCAGCCCCAGAGAGGAGAAAACCCGCGGGCCTGGCCGGGCGCAGGCCGCCCTTCCCTGCGGATCGGAACCGCCGCCCACACCGTGGTCTTTCCAGCACCGCAGACACCTGCCGGCTCCTCCGGAGCGGAGCTCAGGGCTGACCAAGCGCGGTCAGAGTGGCCGCCTACGGGCACTCGCCCGCGCCTTAGAGCGCTGGCAATGATGTGCAGATCCTCGCTGCTGCTGCTGCTGCTGCTGCTGCTGCTGGGATGCTGCTGAGTGGCTGAATGACCTCAGGGGACCCTGGGAGAGCCCTGAAGCCCTCAGCCACCAAGTGGCTGGGCTGGCAAGGGTTCATTCATTCATTCAACAAATACGAATGTGCAGCTTGTGCTGAGGTCATGATGGCTCTGGTGGGCAGCGAGGGGCCGGCCGGAGGAGCACAGTGCGGGCTCTGTAAGTGGGCTGAGGGCTGGGCCTTCTGGGGCTGGACCGGCCTTCACCTGCAGGCGGGGTTGGGGCAGGTGAGGAGCAGATGGACCCGCCCGGAGCTCTTCCACCTTCCCGTGTTTACACCTCCTTCCTGGAACCTTATCCACACCGCTCAGTCCTCGCTCTTACTGTGGGGGAGCTGCGGAGGATGTGGTTCTTCCACATTCCATTTCCACCCGCGCTGGGCAGGCTCTGAGATGGGGAGAGCTCTCCTGGGCCTGAATGTGTGCCGTCCTGGGGCCCTGCAGTCCCTTGGGAGTGATGACTGAGACCAGATTCCCTGAGCTGGGGTCTTAAGGGCTTGGGGAGCGCAGAGGGATCCTCTGGCATCAGGAGTTGAGGTAGACAGCTCCAGGGAGGCACTGCTGGGAGGAGGACCCTGGCCAAGCCTCTGCCTGTGGCCCGGAGTGTGTGTCCCTGCCCCTTCTGCCCCTCTTGCCCGGGGAGGGAAGAGGAAACCAGAGGTCAGCAGTTCGTGGCTGGGGTTTAAAGGCAGGGATCTTCCAGGACGGGCACAGGGAACGTGAGGAAGCAGCTAGTGTCTCTGTTCGTGAGATGTGAGAGTGGCGACTGGGGTGAGGGGTGCAGAGACCTGCCATGGCTGGGGTGAGGTGCTGTTGGTGCTTCTGGGGAGGTTGGGCAGGATAGACTATCAGGTGGTCTCAGGGTTGTGCAGGGACTTGCCAGAGAGGGAAGCGGGGCATGTCCCCAGGATGGGGCGGGGCGGGGCGGGGCGGGGGGGGGGTGTCCTAGGAGGAGGGTGCCTGGGTGGGAAGAGGTGTTGCATGCCCAGCTCAAAGGCCTTGCCTAGGGGTGCGCACAGGCTCAGCTGACGTGAGGATGTTGATGGAAGGACTGAGGGTCCCACTCATTTGCAAGTGAGAACTGCCTGCCCAGCAGCCCCAGCAGTGCCTGGGCCCCTGGACTGACAAGGATGGATGAGGGTGATGGAGGCGGATGGACATTTGATGCCGGAGCCTGCCTTCCAGGCAGAAGGGCCGTGAGTCATCCTCTCTCCAGTGCCAAGTGGAGAGGCTGCGTTATTCGTTTTCAGGGCTGAGCAGGTCCTCGACGTGACCGAGGACTGTGCACGTTGTTTGAGGCAAACTGGAGCGCTGGCTCTGTCAGCCCGTGAGAGACCTCCCTCTAGAGCTGTGGCCTCTAGAAATGCCTCCCGTGGTTGACATCTGGTCACCACTTGCCGACTGGGGTGTGGAGGGCAGCGCAGGCCTGGAGTGTCCCCGAGAGCAGCTGGGCATCTGCCCCTGCCCACCCCACAGGGCCTCCCACTCACAGGGTCTACTTAGCAGCTCCATGGTTGCCATACCTTGCAGACCGCCCTCAGCGGCCACATGTATCCTTGCCCCAAGCCAATGACAGGTCCGAAGAAGACACTGATGGAGCTGAAGCGCAGGACAGAGACAAGCACCTGTGTGCCGGACGCTCCTGGAGCACCTGATGTGTGCTGACTGGCTCATTTGGACGTCACAGTGGTCAGACTAGGGTAGTATCCCCATTCTCCAGATGGTGAAACTGAGGCAAGGAGAGGCTAAGTAACTTGTCCGAGGTCACAACCGAGGGAGTCGGACTCCAGGGTTTTGGCTCCGAGCATCATGCACGCTGCCCAGACTTCCCCTCCACATGTCACACCTATTAGGCCACTGGGGGTACGGAGCCTTTCTGTGGCCTCGCTCCCCTCTGAGCCTCTGGGAGGGAGGCAGCCCAGGTTCCAAGGCAGCGAGTGATGTGTGCGGGAGAAGGGAAGCTTCCAGGGCAGGGGTTCAGAACCCTCCCAGTGGGGTTTTCCCCAAGAGCCACTGCTGGCAGGTTCCTACACACCCATCCAGCCCCAGCACAGCCTGCCTCTTTTCCTTCTCTTCCTCCTTTTCTCTTTCTGCCTGCGTTGGTCCAAAATGGGGAAGTTTCACATAAAAGGCAAACGGGCCACAAAGCAGCTATTTCTAGAGGTGCTGCTGCCTTGCAGATTGAATTCTTGGTTGGCTTTTTAGGTGTTTGTTTTCGGGGTCCTTTTCTGTAGAAGAAGCTATCAACGGCCAGGCACAGTGGCTCACGCCTGTAATCCCAGCACGTTGGGAGGCTGAGGTGGTGGATTACCTGAGGTTAGGAGTTCGAGACCAGCCTGGGCCACATGGTATAACCCTCTCTCTATTTAAAAAAAAAAAAAAAAAAAAAAAGAAGCAGCAGCTATCAACTAAGAAAAGGAGGAAGTGGCTTTGGGAGGCTGAGATGGGAGGCTTGCTTGAGTCCAGGAGATCGAGGCTGTAGTCAGCTGTGATTGCACCGCTACACTCCTTGAATCCTATCAGCTTGGCCAGGGCAGGGGTGGGAAAGGGGAAAGACCACCATCTGGATCACAGACCAGGCCTGAAAGGGGGCTGGTTACTTTTAGGCACGTAGAGTAACTGGAAAGACACGCTGTCCTAGTGGAAGCCGTGGGTGGCCTCTGTGGCTGCTGTGGCCCCCGGGGAGGAGGAGATACCTGTCTTCTGGGGCTGGGGCTCAGTCTGGCTCCGGGTCTGGATCGCCAGGGAGCTTTCCGCAGAGCATCCTGCCTGGGCTTTGCCTGGTCTGCATGGGACCCCCAGCCTGTGGCTCAACCCGCTTCTGTGCTCACAGCCATGCTGGCCCTGGGGGCAGTCCTTGGCTTCCCTCCTCGTTGGCTTAACAAACCCTCTTTCGTCAGAGGAAGGAAAGTGTGTGCTGTGGCCTGGTGGAACAGGCTGGGCTTGGGGGTTCCAAATGCCCCGTGTGCTTGGGGACAGCCGCTGAACCTCCCCACCGCTGTCATGGCCCTTGGCCAAGAGCTTTCATCCAAGGCGGGCAGTAGTTGCTGTTTCTGTTATGGGGTACCTCTGCATCTGTGTTTGGTTTAATTTGTGTAACTGAATGTCTCATTTTATTTCTCACATTCATTCTGTGAAATTCCCCTGTATCTGGGTGAGTGTTCAGGTGACTACAGCCCTGGGTCCGGGATGGGCGGTGTTCCAGGAGCTCCTGCTTAGGCCTCTCTCCCATTCTCCCCCAAAACCAAAGAGAAGGGAAAACCCTCTGTAAGTGGATGTCACATGTCAGGTGCTTTTTCTGACACTGCATGTGATCGCACAAGGCAGGGAGTGTCCCCTTTTACAGATGGGGAAGGTGAGATCACATTGCAGGTTCAAAGTCTGACATGACCCGTCCACCTTTACAGCTTCCTTCTCTGGGCTGGGAGTGCCTGAGGGCTTCTTAAAATGCAGATGGACTTGGGGGACTGAGCTTCTCTGGGGTTCCAGTGTTTTTCTAGGGAGAGCCATCTGGGGTCAGGGCCGGGGTGGGGACAGCAGGAGAACAGGACAGGAGTGGCGACCCAGGGCCAGGGAAGGGAGTAGGCAGGGGCAGCATATGGGGGTGGAAAGAAAGGGGCCAGTGGCACGAAGGCCCCTGGGAGGCAGCAGCGTGTCCCTCCTGGGGGTAAGTCCAGGAGAGTGGCCATCCCTGAGGAGCTCTGGTCCTGTGACAGTGAGGCTGGGCCTGAGAGCACCGGAGGCCAGCGGGCAAGTGTACCATCCCCCCAGCCCGGTGGGGCACCACGTGACCAGGCCTCGCGTGAGGACTGGGAGTGGCTTCTGCACCGGCTGGCATCTCCCTAGAGACAGGAAGGTGGGGTGCCTTCTGGGTTCAGCTGGGGACTCTGAGCTTTGGGTGCTGGAGGTCACTGTGCTTGGGCTGGCTGCTGCCTGGGCCCAGCTGCCTGTGTGTGTGGAGTCAGTAGAGGGACCACAGCCAGGCCGGGCACTGTCCTGGCCCCGGAACCGAGGCAGGCGTGCTATGAGAAGATAACATTGCCCTGACAACTGTCCCCAGGATCCTTTCAGCAGGCACTTCCTTGCTGTGCCCTGGAAAGGTGGGGCGGCACTCTGGATGACAGCACAGCCTCAGGGTGCTTCTCTGTGGCCCACACGCCCTTCCGGCGCGACGGCCACCTCCGTTCCTGTTTCCCCAAGCCCCACTTCCCCTGAAATCCAGGCAGGGAGAGATGGGGCCTGGCTGTGAGAACCCTGGCCCCAGGTGTCACCATTTCCCCAGAAGCCTTGTTTCTCCCTCTGGGTATCCCTGAGGACCCCTGCAGACATCCAGCCCCAAACCCGGCCGGCTGAGCAGGGAGCCCAGCTGGGGGCCTTGGTGGAAGGGTCGCCCGTGTACTCACACCGGCAGCCAGCCGCTTCCTGGGTCATCAGCCCCTCCCTCCGCAGGAGAGGCGAGGCGTTTCTGCCAGGGGCCGGGTGGCATTTCTGCCAGGCAGGGGCACGGCGTTGGCGCGGCACAGGCCCTGCTGTGCTCTGTGAGGGCTCTGCCCTGACTTGGACTCTGTCTGGGACGTGGTGACAGGCTTGTTCTTTATTTATTTATTTTTGAGACAAGTCTCGCGTGTCGCCCAGGCTGGAGAGCAGTGGCACAATCTCGGCTCACTGCAAGCTCCGCCTCCCGGGTTCACGCCGTTCTCCTGCCTCAGCCTCCTGAGTAGCTGGGACTACAGGCGCCCGCCACCTCGCCCGGCTAGTTTTTTGCATTTTTTAGTAGAGACGAGGTTTCACCGTGTCAGCCAGGATGGTCTCGATCTCCTGACCTCGTGATCCGCCCGTCTCGGCCTCCCAAAGTGCTGGGATTACAGGCTTGAGCCACCGCGCCCGGCCATCAATTTTTTGTATTTTTAGTACAGACAGGGTTTCACCATGTTAGCCAGGATGGTCTTGATCTCCTGACCTCATGATCCGCCCGCCTCAGCCTCCCAAAATGCTGGGATTACAGGCGTGAGCCACCGCACGGCCCAGCCTTGTTCATTATGACAGAGTCTACAGAGAGTTCAGGGAGGGGCGGACCAGGGGCAGACAGAGGCTCCCCAGGGATTGTGGAGTAGCTGAAGGACACCTGCCTTCCGCTGCCAGCCACCACACCCCACCCAGAAGCCCAGGGCCTGCACACGGGAGGGAGGCAGGACTCCCGGGTCACGGAGGCCGGGAGCATCGGGGTCCACTGACTTCCGGGGCCTGTGGTGGAGCCTCGGACCTCTGGGAGGGGGCCCCAGTCACCCGAAGAGGCCCTTGCCTCCTCATGCCCCCTCCTGCTGGCTGCCTTTTCAAAAACCATTTGTTTGAGACATACTGCACATGCCATAAAATTCACCCATTGAAAGTGTACAGTTCAGTGGCTTAGTATCTTCACAGTGTGCAACCATCACCACCACCTACAGGGAGAACATTTCAGTGCCCCAGAGAGAAGCTCCACGCACACCAGCGGGTCCTCCACAACCCTGGCAGCCCTGATCTGTCTGTCTGGATTTGCATGTTTAGCACCTTTCGTGCTAATGGAATCACACACTCGGTGGCCTTCTGTGACTGACTTCTTTCATGTAGCATATTTTCAAGGGTCACTCATGTTACAGCAGGTGTCTCTGTTTCATTCATTTTTTATTTTGTATTTTTTGTAGAGATGGGGTCTCACTGCATTGCCCAGTTTGCCTCAAACTCCTGGGCTCAAGTGATCCTCCTGCCTCGGCCTCCCAAAGTGCTGGCCTTCTCTTGGCTACCAGAGGCAAATTCAAGCAGCACTGGAACTTTTCACTTGGTGGAGCCTGTTCCTCCGTTTTCTCTCTGTGTCTCGGCTTCCCCCGCCCCTGCGTCTGTGTTCTCTTGGTTTCTGGCTTGTCTATGGCCTGGTGGCATCGGTGATTGATCCTTGGTTTGTGGTCGTATTGTTGCTCATCTTTGTAGGCGGATGACAGAGATCAGTCCTCTGTGGCCAGATTCGGAGAATCTGGATGATTGAACTTCGTTCTCTGTGTCCTTAGCGTCTTTTGAGCTCAATTCGATTCAGAATTTTGTGTCCACCAGGAAGAACAACTCTTTGATACCTGGTGCAGGGAGTTTTCCAGTTTCCGTGTTTACTCTTGCCCTGGGGCTGAAGTTGTAATTCAGAAAGGCCTTTGCCTCTCACTAAGTTAACTTTTCTTGAGTCACTGGGTAAGGTCACGAAGTGTCTTGAATTGGAGGAAATCTATTCTGATTGGTTTGTGATTAGTTTATATAAGTAAATATTTCGAAGATTTGCAAAACATAAGAAAATCCTACTTCTAATAATTTATTTATTTATTATAATTTTTTTTTTTTGAGATGGAGTCTCACTCTGTTGCACAGGCTGGAGTGCAGTGGCGTTATCTCGGCTCACTGCAACCTCTGCCTCCTGGGTTCAAGAGATTCTCCTGCCTCAGCCTCCCGAGTAGCTGGGATTACAGGCGTTCGCCACCACACCTGGCTAATTTTTTTGTATTTATAGTAGAGACGGGGTTTCACTGTGTTAGCCAGGATGGTCTCGATCTCTTGACCTTGTAATATGCCCCCCTTGGCCTCCCAAAGTGCTGGGATTACAGGCATGAGCCGCCGCACCCAGCCTATTATAATTTTTTTTTTTTTTTTTGAGACGGAGTCTTGCTGTGTCACCCAGGCTGGAGTGCAGTGGCCGGATCTCAGCTCACTGCAAGCTCCGCCTCCCGGGTTCACGCCATTCTCCTGCCTCAGCCTCCCGAGTAGCTGGGACTACAGGCGCCTGCCACCTCGCCCGGCTAAGTTTTTTTTTGTATTTTTAGTAGAGACGGGGTTTCACTGTGTTAGCCAGGATGGTCTCGATCTCCTGACCTTGTGATCCGCCCGTCTCGGCCTCCCAAAGTGCTGGGATTACAGGCTTGAGCCACCTCGCCCGGCCGCCTATTATAATTTTTTTTGAGACAGAGTCTTGCCCTGTCACCCAGGCTGGAATACAGTGGAACGAAACTTGGCTCACTCCAACCTCTGCCTCCAGGGTTCGAGCGATTCTCCTGCCTCAGCCTCCCAAGTAGCTGGGATTACAGGTGTGTGCCACCACGCCCGGCTAATTTTTGTATTTTTATTAGAGACAGGGTTTCAACATGTTGGCCAGGCTGGTCTTGAACTCCTGATCTCAGGTGATCCTCCTGCTTTGGCCTCCCAGAGTGCTGGGATTACAGGCGTGAGCCACTGCGCCCGCTGTACTTCTAATAATTTTAATGCATTAGACTTTAAATTTAAAAGCAAATTCTTGGCCGGGCGCTGTGGCTCACGCCTGTAAAACCAGCACTTGGGGAGGCCGAGGCAGGCGGATCACGAGGTCAGGAGATCGAGACCATGCTGGTTCACACTGTGAAACCCCATTGCCACTAAAAATGCAAAAAATTAGCCAGGCGTGGTGGCGGGCGCCTGTAGTCCCAGCTACTCGGGAGGCTAAGGCAGGAGAATGGCATGAACCCGGAAGGTGGAGCTTGCAGTGAGCGGAGATCTGGCCCCTGCACTCCAGCCTGGGTGACAGTGAGACTCTGTCTCAAAATTAATTAATTAATTAATTAAATTAAGCAATTTCACAAATTTCAAATGAATCAAAAATTTTTTTTTTTTTTTTGGAGACAGGGTCTCACTCTGTCAAGCAGTCTAGAGTGCAGTGGTATGATCATGGCCCACTACAGCCTCAAACTCCTGTGCTCAAGTGATCTTCCTGCCTCAGCCTCCCAAAGTGCTGGGATTACAGGTGAGGACCACTGTGCCTGGCCTATTTTTAAAATTTCTGTTTTAATTCTAACACAGAATATAGGGATAAAAGCCTACTTAATCAAACGCTTTTTGGTTCCTCAATAATTTTTATATATAAAGGGATCTAGAGACCAAAAAGTTTGAGAAGTGCTGCTTTGAGGGAAAAAAAACTTTTTTTTTTTTTTTTTTTGAGACGGAGTCTCGCTCTGTCTCCCAGGCTGGAGCAGCTGGGTTACAGGTGCACGCCATCATGCCCGGCTAATTTTTGTATTTTTAGTAGAGACGGAGTTTCACCATATTGGTCAGGCTGGTCTCAAACTCCTGACCTCAGGTGATCCACCCGCCTCGGCCTCCCAAAGTTCTGGGAGCTCACGAGCGTGAGCCACTGCGCCCGGCCAATGTAACTATTGTATAAAACAAAACATTTCTGTTGAGAAGAACAGCACTGCATCCGTGTTTCTGCAGATCTCCTAGGTGTCTAAATGAATAGAGGATACCTGGATTCTCGCTGTTGCAGTATCTCTTTTTCTCAGCCTCTGGAAAAGTCCACTGTACGCTCGTGAGAGAGTGACAGAAGAAACTGTGTTATGGAAGCTTTTCAACCTCACAGATTCTCTGAAAAGGGCCTCAGGCACCCTAGGATATCCTGGTCCACACTCCCTCCTAAAGCAATTTACCTTTCCAGAATATGGTAAAAATGACGAAAAACATAGTGAAGGGCAAAACTAGGTATGTGCCTTTTATTGTCACGGTACCTGAGTCTGAAAAGCAGCAATGAATTATGTCACAATAGCAAAGTTTGCTCGTCTTGATGGTCTTGCCTTTGTTTACTCATTAATGCCTTTGCCTTCAAAGGGAAAGATTATGGCTGGCGCGGTGGCTCACGCCTGTCATCCTAGCACTTTGGGAGGCCGAGGTGGGCGGATCACGAGGTCAGGAGATTAAGACCATCCTGGCTAATATGGTGAAACCCCGTCTCCACTAAAAATACAAAAAAAAAAATTAGCCGGGTGTGGTGGCGGGCGCCTGCAGTCCCAGCTACTCGGGAGGCTGAAGCAGGAGAATGGGGTGAACCCGGGAGGCGGAGCTTGCAATGAGCCGAGATCCGGCCACTGCACTCCAGCCTGGGCAACAGAGCGAGACTCCGTCTCAAAAAAAAAAAAAAAAAACCAAAGTGAAAGATTATTCTTTCCTTTCTGTGTAATCCACCTGGATGGCAGAGAGGTTCTGTATAGCAGAATCATTTTTAATGCTTTATGTTGACTTTATTATGTTCATGCTTATTTAAGGGGGAAAAACAAAGAGCAAAGGTTCTTCACTTGTGAAAGATCAGATTTGTTTTGTTAATGGATAATCGAGTCTTCCCTCTCAGACGCCGTGATCCTGCCTTAACAACTGTCCAAATTGCCTCTGAAACTGTCCCTGAGGCTCTGAGTGCCCCTGGATAATCACAAAGATTTGATCATTCACCTCATAAAAAGAAAAATACTATAAACATAATGAGGTTTGTTTTCAGTGTTACCTTGTAAGACCCGCACGGGAAGAGTGCTTGTTAAATCACAAGAGACGCTGGCCGCCGCTCCTTGGTTCAGTGTGTACGTGTAAGTGTTGTTCATGGAAATATTTCGGAAGTTCTGGGCTTGGCAGGAGGCCCCATGCTTGTCAGTGCCCTCCCCTGCTCTGTGTAGGATATTTTCTTTTTTTTTTTTTTTTTTTTTTGAGACGGA